TAAGTTCGACGATGATACTCCAGGGTACTCCATAAAAACTAAATGGGGTACTCCATAAAAACTAAATGTCCGTTATATTCGATAATCCTACATATGATCCCGAAATTAGGATGATTGCCGGATACAATTTAACCGGACAATGCGCCAGAGGCGCATGCGCCTAAAACGAGAACCCCTAGTCCGTGGCCCCAAGGCCAACGACAACGAAGCGCATCCGTTGGCGTCAAGTCGGGGCTTACACACAACGGTACGTTGCCTCTTACAACATGTAAATGATGCTGCTAGTTTGCGTTAATGCTATCACTTGGCTGAATGCATAGATCATTCTCATCGCCCGACGACAGCCGAAGTTAGGAATGCGAGCATGCTTCGATTTCCCGGTTTGATCCATGATTTGTGTCCTGCGTGTTGAAGTACATGAATTTCCACAATGTCCTGAGTCCGATGTTATGGTTCAATGTGTTTGATATTCGAACGTAGGGTTGTACAGTATTGTACTAGCATGTTTTTGCCGCCACTCGTCCGTTTTGCAGCTTTACAGTTAGTATAATTTAATTGTACTGACACTCACGTATCTTCGTCATGTATCATTTCGAGATTCCTCATTGGAAATTATAGCCATTGCAACGTCCCTGGAGGTGACAGGACTTCTGTACCCACGCCTCCTTGGGCCATAGCAAGAACTGTGGTCAGGCCGCTTACAGCCTCTGCACGCAATACACGTGGCACCGGGAGCCACGCCGTGCCTCACAGTTCATGCCCTCACCTTGTCAGAGACGTCACAGTAAAAACCAACATACCAGTACGACATTTGATCTTTGTATTGAAAATCAAGAGTCATCTACCAATGAAAGCCTAAGAAGTATTGAACTTTTAACCAATAAGACTAATGTCTAATGTCGGATCGAATCGTCTTGACGTTTGTATGGGCCATTTATCCGTACACGTTATCCGTACGTAAATTGAGTTTAACCTATCACTATCCAAGGTTTAACCTAGCAGATTACTGCTTAACGTTCATCCGAAGTAGGTTTTACCACAAAATATATAGGTTAAATAGAAAAACGTAGGGCAAAAGATTTGGCCTGTTCGTCGTTTCTACCGGTAGCTTTCTCATGCTGGCAACCGCCACGGCGTACTGTATTGCATGCATCCTGCCAGTCGCGGCTGTGCCCATGCGACAGAAACCATCACGAATGTCCTCTTCGCGGACTTGTTTGATGAGGACGATGACGTCGACAGTTTCCTGGCATTGTCGCATTCGCCAAGTTATGCTCCATACATTGATTGATATTGATATTACGCTGTAAAGTTAAAATCACTCAGCGGGCACTTAATGGCCTCGGCCGCGTACTAGCTGAGCGGACTTAACTACATTCTCTTATGCTCCATACATATTAATACGAAGTAAAATTTTCTGCGGTATCCAGATTCGGCTTTACTAGGGAAATTTCGAGGACGAGTATTGTCGATTTGCTGGGAATTTCCGGATACAGAGAGGTTCAAATCCCTACTTTCATAAACCACGCGACGGCGTTTGATTGGTTTATCTTTGAGTTTGGCAGTTTCGCATTTGCGCGCCATTTCCAAACGCACGCCCTTCTGGCAGCTCGTCGATACCCATGAGCGCCATTGAGTCTGTTGTCTTCCACCGACATGCCAGCCCCAACACTATGATGCTATTCCTCTACGACTACTACGTCCTAGGGACGAAGAAGTCTTGTTTGGCAGTCCTCTATGGGAAGGACGAGAAAACGATTCATTTCACACCCACAACGCACCACCACAGTCGAACGTTGCTAACCTCACAGCGGACGCGTTGCGCTGACCGACAGTCTCTTTGATCATAGCCTCAAGTATGAGCTCGTAAAACGAGGTTTTTTAGTGCGCCGCCACCTCTGGTTGTAGGCTTAGACGTGGGCTTTGTGAGGATATCGTGTTCCTCGCGGGAGTGTCTGCAACGTCCATGGTGGTGTCCGCGTCAGGGATAGAAAAAATCATGATCCATGTGCGGACTCCGCGTGGATGTTGTGAGTTGCAGTGTGGCACGTTCTCTGAAAGCTTGTTCTCTGAAAGGCTGGTTTCGTGTAGCCAATCATAGTCTAGCATGAATGGATTAACCAATGGGCGAGGTTTGTGATAGGTTCAGTCAGCGAGATTCGATTCGACGGAATCTGGAATTCTGTACCAAATCCGCAATATTTATCTTTATCCTTAAAATCACCTCTGAAGCTTTATAGAGTTGAGGAAAAATCCGGAACTTACTGTTAAGAGCATCTCCAACGGTGCCAGAATCCCTCAAGTGGGTTCATTTGTGGATTGGAATCCTCGACAGTGATTGGCCAGATCGGTTGACTTGGTCGACGCTTTTTTGTTGGCACTTGAAATGGAGCGTGGAGGATGGCCTACATGAAGTGGATGTCAATCAAAGGCGCTGTGGGAGCGAACAAGTTAATGACAACCTCCATCGTTATGGATAGTGACGTAGAATCCTGTGCACCATCATATCTACTGTAGACACTTGTAGGAACTACGAAAAGCAACTTAGTCCGACGCCGCAGCGTACACAGGCGGCCGGATATACTGCAAGGTTCGCAGTAAGTTCCACACATCTGGCCGGAGTTCCACCAGTGGCGGATCAACGATATCTTAGAAGGACCAGATATTAATAAGTACTATGACATCCATCGCCTTAAATAAATGAAGAATCATTCAAAGTCACCAAATAATATCTACAGTATCAATAATGTCGCCCAGGAGGGTGCGGGAAATGACCAAAACAGCGAGCCTCAAATGAATTGGCAGAATATCATGCAGCTCGATCCCACTAGCTCTTGTCCTACCTGATATATACACTTGGGGCTGAGGGTTTTGGATTGGCCTTTCGACAAGACGCGCCAACCGGGAACGCATGGTGTAGTGACTTCACAGTCAGCTCAAAACTGTTCGGTAATTTTAATGGACTTGACATTGAATTGTCAGCTCAAACTGTTCGGTAATTTTAATGGACTTGACATTGAATTGTGATAAAATATAAAAACCAAGTTACATAATAATAAAACATTGCTTCAAATATGACTTAAGGTTAGACATAATTTATGATCAACTTGTTAGCTAATTAGTTAACTAAGAAAGTACATGACTTTAACATCAAATATCTCTCTGACGGCTTGACTACAAGCAGTGTATTGAATGTAGATATTGCAAACTTAGTTGTAGGCTATCGTTCAAAGCTAGAAATATGGCGATTGCAACATTGTAGCATGAGTGATGTGTCCTCAAAGTAGCAAAAACTCGCAAATAACGTTAAAACATACTTTGTAAGTAAATATCTCGATGAATATAGGTCGTAGCGACCTCTATGATACGTCATTATGTAGATATAATGCTTGTGAACACGCGAATTGAGTCTCGGGCTGGTCGGTTACATTGGGTTATCTTGTGTGGCTTTGAAAGTGGATGTCTCAATTATAACATCCAAGTTGAGCAACTTTTAGGGCATCTCCAACGGTAAATTCTAACCTATTGCTAAAGCATAGGTAAAGTCAAACTTCGTTTTTACGGTTGCTATTTTGGCATTATATGTGTAAAGTCAAACTTCGTTTTTACGGTTGCTATTTTGGCATTATCCGGATTATTTTGAAATTAACGTCCTTCAGAATTTCTATTTTCGCGTGAAATAGCAACAAACCCTCCGGATAGTGCAAGAGTTTCTATTCTATATCCGTAACTTCGAATTGACAATAGAAATAAAAACACCGTTGGAGATGCTCTTAGAGCATCTCCAACGGTGTTTTTAAGAGCATCTACAGTTAGTTATCTTTGCTTCCAAATATAATATCACATAACATCGTTTTGATGTGTTATTTTAAAAAATTCTATTAACGCCATGATAAAAATAATGAAAATAAAGTGCGCTTCCATGGAGCAAGGTTGACGACCAAATCACCACCGAAGATGCGACGACGAAGGTTTCTATCCACCCAGATAAAGTATGAACTCTTCCGATCGTGTAACATTGCGATTATAGTCATCAGCTCCATCGAGTTTGTTCGAATATGACCATTTATTTCCTGCAGCCTCCAGGTATAATATTTTTGAAATTCAGAAAATAATATGCCCGGATACAGTTTACTACAAGATATGTTGCGCGACAATATATACCGGTAAGTGACCTCAATGACATCTCGGTGCCTTGTGGTGCATGCATGCCATGGTGACAAAACTAAGTACTGATTTTGTCTATCTTGGTTTTTGTATGTCCTTATATATTGTCGCAACATACAAACATGACAATGGTTGTTACTTCTTGACAACCACGAATTTGGTTGTTCTGGAATAACAGTTATGGTACAAATCTGCCACACTGCCCTGAGCAACATATCTAAAAGTCAGCTGATTTTGATCATTTTTGACCTCGTGGCGTAAAAAAACCCCACTTTTTATCCACTGTCCTTTCTATTTTGTCGCGCACTGTAGTATCGAAGAATGGACAGCGACCAGGAATTACTTTACAGCTGTAAAGTTTACAGTGTTAGTAAAACGTAGTACATGAGTGTTAACACTGTAAAGTTTACAATGTTAGTATTATGTAGTAAATGAATGATAGATGCAATGCTTCCGTAAAAATATTACGTCAAAATAGTTCGCTTCGAATCGTTATTCGAACCGGCTTACTAGTATACTACTGCTACTAATAAGTAGTAGTACGCCACCAAGATCGGCTTGAATACCGAACGCTGCCTACACCAGTAGCTCGTAAACTGAGCTGGTGGCTTGAGCCGAGGACATCTCGGCGCTCTGTTGGTGGTTAAGGGCGGAACGTTGTTGGCGACTATGCGGTGCGCACAGCTGGTTCACCTTGGCTAGGCGATGGCAGCCGTGGAACACACAGAGCGCCGCGACCCGGTGAACCTCGCAGAGGCCTCCGCCGCGATCAGTTCGAGGACAATCGTGGACGCGGCACGGGATTTTCCCGCCGTGACTCGCGCATCGGCCACGGCGTTGGGCGGCCCTGGCACAACCGTCGAAACTGCATTTTTTACCACCCCCGTGCGCCTTGCATCGACCTCCGCCCTGGGCGCTCTTGGAACAACTCAACTCGGAACAGCGAGCCCCTCCACCGTGTTTTTTGCATTTTCCCAGCACCCCCATAGCAGTTCCTAGGCAACCCGCGGTGGAACATGTCTTCCCGCCGCCATGGCCGCGGCACAGTCGATTCGTGGCGGCTGCATGCGAGCATCCTGGCATTGAACACAGGGTTTTCTGTCGACGGGGACGGCGAGACGGCGTCGTTAATGGCACTACTGGTTCGTTCACCGTCGGTGGTTGCGCAAAGAGTGCTCGGTGCCAATCCCCAGTCGCTTTCCATTTTGCTTCCGCAGCAACTTCCCCCAGAAACTCGGATGCGGATTCTTCCGACGTTTCAGCTGCTTGATGCTCAGGGGGGGTACGTGGCTCGATGTAGCAGTAGCTGCCCCATATCCCTGGTTGCCGCGACCAGCCACGATACTCTTGCATCCATTCAAACACGCGATGGAATTCGTCGGACGCTCGAATGCTTTCAAATAGAGTTGTATCGTCATGATGGCCGTCACTTTCGGCGTCATACGTGGTGGACGAGTACGACACGTCCGACGACACATCCGAGTCGGCCACAGACTCGGCGCTTTCGTCGTCCAAGCTGGCCATGAAGTGCTCCAAGGGCTGAGTGGAGATCGAAGTGACAATCCGTTCGTAGTACTCTTCATCTTCCAGGCCCTTGTTGCCCAGCGTCTTGTCGTCGATGCTATTGCTTTGCACCATAGATTGTTTGCGCCGGTCCCTCTCGCTGGTGCTGCCCAAAGAAGGCCTGTTGATGCTGTGCAGCTCCACGTCTTCCTCGATTGTCACCATGGACTGCTGCCGTCGGAACAGCACTTGTTGCGGCAGTTCAGCGAGGGTGGTCTGCAGTCTCGCGTCGTTGGCGACATCGCGTTGCCCCACCACCACCACGACCACATTGTCCCCAGACGCAAATGTCACGTCAATGAACTCCGCCAGGTCATCATTAAGGTCCACATGAAGCATCGCGTCGACTTGCCGAATGTGGAACTATGCGACTACTTCTCTCAATGTGTTGCAGCGTTGACTTGAGAATTATTCCTAGCACGAGACGATGCCACGTCATTTATCCGGATATATGGCATTTCGGATACTACGCATAACGGATCAGCCAGTCGTGTTCGCACACTGTACCGGTAGTGCGATTTGTAGTTTCTGGCTTGATGAAATGAGTAGTGTGCCTAAACTATCGTTTTTAATCGTACTTTGTGTCGGTAGAAATTATTGCGCGGGCAACGCCACAGTTATTCGAAAGAAACCAAGATACTTAGGCAGAACTGGGTTGTGGGTCGGATAAAGTACTTGACTGCAACGAGTACTAACGTTACTACTTCTGAAGTATTGATTATTAATACAGTAATAGATACTACTGTGCTTTTCATGTAGTTTGCCCGTTGTTTACGTGTAAACAACAAGGCGTTTAAAATAATATAAGTTGAACATAAAACAACGCAAGCAAGTTCTGTGCATGTCATCAGCATAAAACAACCCTTACTTACTTTATTTCAGCCGCTAACTAATCGAGTTGTAGCACCAATCCAACTTACGCAGTGCAACCACCAGTTCATCACGATGCACACCGTATTAGGATGTGACATGGGAGTACTGTACTATACATCTTGTAGTCGTACAGCGCCCTTGCTTTCCACGTATGTACAGTGCTAACGTTAGTACAGATCAAGTGGTGTTGTACGAATGGCCTTTGAATCATTGGCCAGAGCGACGACTAGCATACCTATATCCCTAATGTAATAAATTACTCGGAGTAGTTCATGTAACAATGAATTTAACCCTCGAATTGTCAAAAAAGGTGCAAAGCACAATAATAGTACTATTAATAGGTAGTAAGTAGTAATACTTCATCTATTAACGTTAATAGTAGTTGTTCGTACATATTAATAGTACGTAAACCTGTCATCACCATAAGTTGAACAATCAATAATGGCATTTTCGGACGACGGTGCATGAGTTGATTGAAACTTACGCCACCACAGTAGCTGACTGTGCCGCCGAGTTGGCACGGGTAGCTCCTTTGGCCGTCTTCAAGAAACACGTACCCCATCCATATGTATAGGCATTGCATCCGTTGGTATTACGACAAAAGGCACAGCAATCTTGAGCCGACGGAGCTGCCGCACTTGCTAGATCGTTCCCAACGTAGTCCACACCTACTTCGACGGTCGAGCACTTGTTGACACGCGCCGACGTGACACCAGACACGGTGGACACGGTGGAGCGACCAGATTTCAGGTAACACTTTCCCTGGGACTGGCTGTAGGCGTTGCAAGTACGTTCGCTTTGACACGCCTGGCAGCAGTCGCTCGTGGTAGCACCGGCTACGCTTACAACATCGTTCCCAACGTAGTCCGTGTTGGGCTCCACCACACCGCACGATTCCACGCTCATGGACGACGGCAAGAAGCCAGCAGTGGCCCCCAGGACTCGAACGGACGCACCCTTCGCTCGCTTCAGCCAGCAAGTTCCATCTCGCCACACAAACAGTTGACAGCCTGCCACGGCCTGACAATCCGAGCAACAAAGATTGGCCGACACTTGCTTGGTGGCCCCGATGTCGTTGCCAGAGTAGTCGACATCGTTCTCAAACGTTGAACAGGAGATCGGCGTGGCCGAAATGCTAGCCGCACGACGGCCAGTGAGGTTTACCTTGGTTCCCACTGCACTCTTTAAATAACACGTGTCTAGATACCACACGTATGCTTGACACGTGGAGGTGGTTTTGCAGACGCCGCAGCACGCCTCGGCAGTAGCTTGGGCGCTGGTACCAATGACAGCACCAGTGTAGTCTGTGTTCTCTTCAATCGTCGAACATGTGTTGGTGGTAGGTGAAGGGGTGAGGGGCGCAATAGGTGCAGGGGTAATTGCCAAGGTGGTGGTGGGTGCAGGAGTAGAAGAAATTGGCAGTGGAGCTGGCGTCGTGCTGGACAGCAGAATTCCTGCGCGTCGACTGGTGGCAGTCGTTTGAACACCGGCGGCGCTTTTCAGGTAGCAAATGCCTTGGAACCACACGAAAGCTTTGCATTTTGGGGTTGCGTTGCAGTCACCACAACACAATTCTGCTGAAGATCGGACGGACGAGCTAATGTCATTGCCTTGAAACTCGGTGTTTTCAAAGATGACGCTGCACGTGGTGCCCACTAGCTGCTTCACCCCAGCACGACGTCCAGTCGATTGTGATTTAGTTCCGAGATTGCTCTTCAAATAGCACGTGCCTTGAAACCAGACGTACAATTTGCATTGGGAGTTCGCATTGCAATCACTGCAGCACAGATCTGCCGTTGAGCGCTGAACTGCAGCAATCGTCGCCCCCGTGTAGTCTGTATCCTCTTGAATTGCGCTGCAAGTACCCGATATGGTGGACGCTGGAGTGGCGCGAGGCGTAAGGGGAAAGATTGGAGCGGGGGTAGGTTCCCGAGTGGGTGCAGGGGTGGGGGCTGGAATAGGCTGATAAGTAGGTGCGGGGGTAGGCCGAGGAGTAGGTGCGGGGGTCAATGCAGGCGTGGTTTGAGGAGTAGGTGCAGGCGTGGCTTGAGGAGTAAATGCAGGCGTAGCTTGAGGAGTAGGTGCAGGCGTAGCTTGAGGAGTAGGTGCAGGCGTAGCTTGAGGAGTAGGTGCAGGCGTGGGGGGGATTGTGGTGGTGGATTTGTTGCTTCGATCGTGCGTCAGCAAGCCAAAATGGTATTCCATATCCGCCCAGAGAGTTTCGTCAGGTCGAGAGTCAAACATGCTGTACCAAAAGTCGTGTTGTCGTTGGTTGTCTTGCATCCACTGTTTAAACGTTTGGAAGTACGCGAGGGAGTTGGCCAAACTGGGCGTGTTGTTGGGAGCCCACGTCGCGGGTGCTCCACCCGAAGGCCACCCCGTCTCAGTCAGTAGCAGCTTTGGCAGTTTGAACTTTGTGACCATGCTATTCCAAGAGCCTTGGAGCAGTGCCACCGGATTCGTCCAAGTGAATCCCGCGTCGAAGAAAGGGTAAATGTTGACTCCAATCACATCGGAGGCTGCTCCGAGTTGGATCATCGATGGAGCGGAAAGAAGCCACTCGGAAATGCGTTGGACGGTACCAACTGGAAACGTCCGGTTCGTTTGGTTGAAAATGCGGTTGCGTGTGAAGTTCATTTGCGTTACAATGTCCTCGACGGTGAATGTTCCGTACGGGGCTACGTTCTCGTTGCCAATGAGGATGGCTTGGACGGTATTCGGGTAATTGACGGCAGCATTCACAGCCGACGTCACTTGGCTCTCGTACCTAAAACACATCGGTGTCTTCAGCTTATGTTGGTTTCAAACGTCGAGAGCTTACCAGGATTCTGTCGTCATGTAAACACCCAAGTACAGCTGGATGCCATACTTGGCAGCAATAGGGGCGATGTCGTAGCCATAGTAGTTGGAGTAATACGTGCGCACCGTGGTGTAGCCGAGCTGGGCCATGAGTTTGAAGTCCGCATCCATGCCTGCTGGCAGTAAATACGGGGACTCATACCCATGGAGAGGGTACTCTGCCAAGTGAAATGGAGAGTAGCATACGCCTACGAGGTATAACAATCAATGGTCCGGCACCTCTTATTGATAGAGAAGGAAGGACGGGGTCTACCTGGAACGGGTAAGGCCTGGGCAATACACAGCATCACCGCCAAGACAAGACCAACGGAGCTCATATCAAAAGAAACTTTGATAATGTGATAAGCATGACATAGGCGTTTCAGTCAAGATCTGTGACAGTATTTGTTGCGCGTTGCTTGCATTGGTTACCTCTGTTATGGTGCTTTTGTCCAGATATAAGCAAGCATTCTTTTGTTTGGTGGATGGAATTAATACATCGCGGGGTATTTGGCTGCCAAGTCGTCGTCACTTATGGCAGGAATCGTGCGTGAACTCGCTACAACCAGGTAGCTCAGAGTATATGCTGGCAGAACGGTGGTTAAGATTGGCATACTGTAGCATAAGGAAGTGTTACACTATGTCGCGAGACCATCCGTCCAGAATATTCGATAATCGCAAGACTGAACCCGTGGTTTAATTGACTGCAAGCCCACGAACCTCATCATGGGGATCTGTTGCTTCTGTAGCCTCCATGTCATCGTCGTAAACAAATCGAATACTTTATGTATACCCCGAAACGTCAAGTCTCGACTTTTGGATTCCCTCAACAGTTTGAGCCCCGAGATCTCCCCCGAACATTCCAACACCTTTCGGGCACAGACGTATGTACACTTCCGTTCTACGCCACTCGTTCATTTGTAGTCAATGCAACCTTGGTTTCGACACTGTACTGTACTTGACATGAGACTCGCTTTGACTTCCTCTTGTAATTCACCAGTATACAGTATACAGTAGCACACGTCGATTTACAAATGCCTACACATTGCCCTGTTGAACTACGAAGACGTTCCTGTGCTATTCCGTCGCTGGGCCAAGGCCCGGAGCAACGAAGACGGCGTGAACAAAATGATTGACGACCTCACGAGTGCGTGTGGCCATCCGATGTAGGGGGCAAGTGTTATCGGCCGAGCCTCTGTTCGACCCCCGTTGCCTGAGTGTGGGTAGCAAAATGTTGGTCCGGAACTGGACCCGACATTTGAGGAGTGTGAAATATGGCCTGGATCCGGATGGGCATATGTTCAGAGCTGATGGTACACACTGTACCGATGCACGACTTGTAGTAGAGTAGTGAAGTGAAAAGAGGGAACTGACTGATTGACTGGATAATGAAGTTACTTTTGGATTTGTCATCGAGGTCACCGTTGTGAACACGGTAGTCGTCGGTTGTGAACACCGGCGCAGGACTACACACACAGCAGTCCATGGTTAATCTACGCCGACTGACAATCTATACGTATGGGGGGGTAAAGGATTGGGGAGATGCTATGCACAAGCCTCGTAATGTAAGCGAAAAATGCTATGAGATTTGACCCACGCCGACATGTTCGCGAGAAACCTCCTACTATACTACGTAGTAGGTACTACGTAGTACTCCGGAGTACTAGTATACCAGTAGGTAGTCAGTACTATGCTACCGGTATACTAGTACTAATTTAGTACTACGTAGCACTACGTAGTACAACTGTAGTACATATTAATAGCAGTAGTAATAATAATAAGCTATTTGTAAGTTCCACTGCCGCAATGGCTTGATGATGCCTTAGGCAGTTGATGGATAGGTAGAGGCAACTCGCATTGCTTCCATACGCGCACGTGCTTGGGATAGCAATATTCCCAAATACGGGGAACAACGTTGAATAACTCCGCGAGAAAGCTATGATACTCTGAGGGAAAATCCCCCCTTGTAACCAGCGATTGTCAAAAATATATTTAAATATATTTTCCGGTGGAGTTATTTATTGTTTATTTATTGTGGTTTCCTACAGAATAGAAATAACTATTGCAATTTATTTTGCTTGGTCAATATCTATTGCACTAACCACTGATTCGCCAATAACTATTGCACTAAATTTTGATTGGCCAATAACTATTGCAATAATATTCCAAAGGGCAATAACTATTGCAATAACGAATCATTAGCCAATAAATATTGCAATATTTTTTGATTGGTCAATAAATACTTGCACTCAAATTTTGTTGTCTACTTCCCAGAGAGTTTTTTTTGCCTTGACTTGAAAGCGCTTCTTTTTGGCCACCTTCGCTTCGGTTTTCTTTGCCTTCTTCGCCTATTCTTGTGGAGATAGCCATTATGCCTCGTCCTCATCGCTGTCAGAGTTGACCTCTCGGCATGCGATCATGTCCTGAATACAGTAATACGAGAACGGTATCTGCAATCAATCTCGAGGCTGTAACCCATTTTTGGGAATGTAATATCTGTCATATTTTTGCATGGATATTCTATATGCATAAGGCATGTGCTAATTGCTAACAGGTACGATTTGGCTCGGTGGATTATTTTTGCTGACACAAAATGGGCCGCAATACCTCTTCAAATTTATGCATATCCACGATTTCTAGAGGGGTAGGGTTGGTCATTTCATTCTACACCAACTCTGGCAGTACCATTCGTTAAAATGGTGCAAACACTTTGGCAAACAATTTACGAGCCCAAATGTTGCCTTTCAATTGGTTAACAGAATTTTCGGCTGTTTTTTGTACGTTAGTCCAAGGCGAACGTTATAGATTTGTGCAGGTTTCGTCCAGATGCAGGAAACTCCGATTCAAGCCAATGAAACTTACTTACGCATTCATAACGCACTTTGATTGGACAAATTCGGACAAAATAAATATGGTGTGTACTTGATGTTTGTATGCAGAATGATGCACAATTGATTAATAATTTCCAGTCAAAGTTTCGAGAATCGAGAGCCCAGAGCCCAGGGACCTCATTTTTGGAGTCCAAGCGAGAAGGTACTTTGTCGATGAGGCGAAGGCACGGGAGGGTATAGTTCGGGCCCAATAAAATAACAGCAATAATTCTCTGGAAACCAATAACTATGGCAATATTACTTGGGGTCCAATAAAATAACTGCAATAATTTTGGGGAAAACAATAACTATTCCAATATATTTCGCTCTTTCAATAAATAGTTCTATTGTTCGGGCACAATATAATAAAATATTATTGCAATATATTTAAATAATTGTTTTCACAATATATTTTTGACAATCGCTGCTTGTAACGTTATAAAAGAAATACAGAACCCATGAAATTCAATAAATGTGCGTTAAACGACAATAAAGGCTTGTATATTTTTGACGTGACAAAAAACCTCAGGTTTAGGGGGGTCTTTATGACCAGGCTACAGTAGCACTGCTGCTCGTGCAGCCGCTCGTCGATTTATTCATGAAGGCAATCGCCCCAATGGCTTTGCCAACACCCACATCTTATCCCACCACTTTGTGCCTCACTCCACTCTCAACCGGGTCCTCCAACGTCCCAACCCACCATCGGTTCTACCAAAGGTATTTCAACCGGGCTCTGCCCCACTCTCTGATGTTTTTGCATCACCGCCCCATGAACCTCCGCTTATTGCGGCTTCTACCCTCGCTCCCATCACTGCTGCACCGGGGGAGATCCCCGACCACTACCCATCTCCTGTGGATGCCGGCGATTTATACTTCGCTGAAGTCCCTTCTGCCAAGGTACTAATTACCGAGCGTTTGCCCTTCTACCCACCACGACCATTGTTCCAAATTCCTGCGAACCCGACCAAAGTGGATCTTTCACTGTCCCCACACAGTGCCTTTTCGGCCACTCGCAGCGACATTATTACCGCGGCGTCAGAGACACCGATCAAGGTAGTTCTCCAACTGCCCCCAAGATGTGTGGACGTCCGTCCCCATCCCCCATTCCAAGTTGTTGGTGGACAAGGCATGTTTGCCCTTCATGCGGACCTACGCTACTGTGAAAGCGACCCCGGTGACCTGCCCCTACCCATGTCGGTGACTTATCGTCCAAATGACTTTCCCTCTCTGCGAGAACATTGGATTGTTGACTCTGGCGCCTCTGCCTCATGCACCCCCAACCGAGATTATTTCTCCAACTACCTTGCGCACTGTCTCACTGTCTCTTACAGTCGAGAACGGCGTCCAACTTCCCGTCCTTGGCTATGGCCCTCTTTCTTTGGCCGTGGACATGTCATCCCGTGACCAAATTTTTGGTCTACATTGCCCTGAACTACAGTTCAACTTGTTCTCCATTCGCCAAGCGACCGATGAGGGCATCTCCGTCCGTTTTACGGCTCGCGACATGTGCGAAATTACCACCACTCTTGGTGATGTGCTTCGAGCACCTAACAATGTCATGGGTCTATACTCCTTTCCCTGCCAGCCCAAGTGCTAGCCCTCAACCGATCCGCACGGTGGCGAGTATATCCATCCGGGCCAAATGGCCATGCTTACTGGCATGATGGCCACTTTTGAGACCCTCTGCGGAAATTCTCCTCGACCTACAGTGGATTTTCCACTTTTAATTAACGATCAATTGCACATGTTTGCATATTCGTCTGTGTTGCGCTATGCGCCAATCATTCAACGATCATCTATGGTCTCCAAGCCAACACCGTTCTACCTATTTACTCCAGACTCTGTCTCGATGAGTGTAGCCCAGGCTATGCTTGGTTCACACACTCCCACACCTGTCTATGACACCACTACTGTTCCAACCGACTGCCTTATTAGCCTCGTGGCTGACTCCAAGCTCTCTGCAGCTAACCTTGCACGCCTCTGGCATCGCCGTCTCGGCCATCCAGGCGTTGATGCCTTCAACCAAATGACAATGACAAATCCTGAGCTTATGCTCTTCAAGGCCAAGCACCTTCGTGGTCAACTATGTGTTTGGTTCGATATAATTGACCGAGCACATTATAACGTTAGCAGTAGTAAATCCAGCACAAATGACATTCAATGTAACTGCTACGTAACCGTGCACCTGCGAATCGATGCGTTGGCACGTCGTCTGGTGCGTGACTTTGTCGTTGTTGGATCAAATATGGTCCGCAAAGGATTTGTGTGTAACTTGTGCTTATGCCAAGTCCAAGCGCAGTCCTTTTGACTCATCTGCGGTCTTCCGCTCGACCTCTTACCTAGCCCTTGTACACTCTGATGTTTGGGACCCAAGCCCGATTTTGTCGGCGGGTGGCGCTGCCTACTTTGTCGTCTTTATCGACGATTACTCCCGCTTTATGTGGACCTACCCCATGCGTTTTCGCAAAGATCTCTATG